CTCCCCAAAACCCCAAAACCCCAAAACCCCAATAAACTTTATTTTTATAAATAAATATGGATCGAAGAATAAAATTTGGACATAAGAAGAACCGTATATTTTGAAGAGGTATGGTAAATACTTCCTTCAGAGAGCATCACAGAAAGTCGATCACCAGAGAAAATGCGAATAAAAGTTGATATGAGCAGTAATAATTGAGGTTTAACTGAATAGCAAAACACCTTTGAAAGCAGCAAGAGTTAAATTCATACAAGCTAAGAAAGGAATGCAGAATGAGAAAGTTACTGATTTTACCACGCATGATTCTCCGAAAGGTAAAATAGCTACATTAGAGGTTAACAAAAGGGTATGACTCTTAGTATAGGAAAGAAAACAAGTTCTGCTTCTTTTTATCGTAAAACTACTCGAAGTACAGCAAGGAGATCGACGAATTATGATTTATCAACTGGGAGAAGGCTTCATCTCACATCAAATAATACTAATAGAAGCTACTCGAAAGCCTATCAAAATGAAATGAAGAGAACTAGCAGTGTATTTCATTCTCGCAGAGATTACCTGTCTACAAAGGTACCTTAGAATATATAATAATGCACCTAGAAACCTGATAACATTAACCAGAATGAGATAACTCATCCAAGACAATTTTCACAGGTTATTAACAATTTCTTCAACGAAATCGAATTATACGATTATCAAAATTTCAAGTAAGTTTTTCCTGTTAGCCCTAGATTTAAGAAGGATAAAAGCAAGAGAGATAAGTTAAAAGAGTTCCTGTCCAAATACTACAGCCCTAGTCAGATAATAGGCCTCTTAAGTATTTATAAAGAACGGCTGATTCACAAAGGAACTATTATAAAGGAAAAGGGCTTAAATTTTACATTTGCAGATACTTCATCTAAGGCCATAAAGGGGAGTACAAGTTCACAGGCAGATTCAGATAGTAATTTAGCAATGCAAGAAGAGAAATCAGAGGTATTCGTCATAAAATCAGGTATAATGGGACTTTACGTGTATTCATACGGGGAAAAATAAGCTAATGACAACATTTTCCACCAAAGAAGTAGTTGGAGAATGGAATTTCAACTTCTTGCACTCTAAAGCAGCCCAATATGAAGCCCTCACAGATATGGAAATTATCTACTTTGATAAAGTAGATTACGAGAAAGTAATGTGAGAGAGTAAGACTAAGAAATATCAAAGCAATTTCGAGTTCTTTAAATAAATTCAGAAAATTCAGGAGTCTCAATGAACATGGGATGAAGAAACTTTGAGCTATTGCAAAAGAGAAGAAATTCACCTGTAGCAATAACTTTGGAGTAAGCCTGAAGAGTTATATCTAGAGGAATAAGGATGAATTCGTAACTCTTAACGGATGAAAAGCAGATTGCCTTTACATAGTCGTCAAAGGGACATTTAGAGCCGAAAGATATGTGACCATTGAGCATGAAAACCTATGGCCTGTTGAATCCAAGGTCTGGAAATCTACCAAAATTCGAAGGAGAGTAGGGATAGTTTTAAAAGTATAGGTACTCTTCACCTCAAATATTCTTAAGCCGAATACTATTTTTGGTGAAAGAGAGCTAGTCAGTAGTTCAGAGCATAGTCTAAGCATTGTGGCAAACTCAAATGATGCTGTTTTACTATTCATTGAAAAGGATAAACTAGATGCAATACTCAATATAGAAACCCTCGTATCTGAAGTCTCAGTAAAATTCCCAACTGAAAAAGAGATTATTCAGAAGATGCAAGTGATTGAGAAATCTTTGCATATGCAGAAGATATCATTTCTTAATTCTACAAATACAAACTTTCTGCCTTCTTCATTCAGAGACTTTTATATGGATAAAGAGACCATCAAACTTTACCCTTGGGTTAGGAATATTGAGAACAAGTACAAGCATAAGCTTGCCCAAAAAGTGAGTCAGAAACCTGAAGATGAAACAAAATCAATGAAGTTTCCTGTAGTTGGGGTTGAAGAAAAATATCTCAACCTGAAGAAATACATCAAAGCCCAGAGAATCAAGGAAAGATCGATGGATCAGATCGCAGATGACATCATAATTGAGCTATGAACTAATTAAGTTTTCATTTTCAAAATTACTAATCAAAAAAGGGGTTTTGGGGTTTTGGGGTTTTGGGGTTTTGGGG